AATCCGCCATTTTGGTTCCGCAATTTTGTTTTGCATTGTTAACATAGGAATCGTTATCAGCGAATTCATAAAACCTTGTTTACATTTTTTTTGACAAATTGAAAAATTTTAGAGCTTTTTAAAAATTTTAATAAGTCATATTGAATCCTCTATTTTTTGTTGGAATGTTGACATTGGAATCGTAATCAGCATGCTCCCAAACCATTGTATTCGAAGTTTTATTAAATTTGGATAACGTTTTCATATTTTGGCCAGCCATTTTGAGGTCTTGCCCCAACGTGCGACAGTTCCGCAACGTCTACCTCCATCGTGGCTTTGCCATCCTCCAGGGCTTTTCCGAACACGCGGCCTCTGCCGCTTGCGCTCCCGCCCCCGCAGCTGCCGGAGCGCTCCATCGCCCGGCACCCACGCGGTTCCCACCCCCGCCCCCCTCCATCCTTCGCCTACCCCGGCTTCGCTTGCACCCCTCCCCCTCCCGACGCCACCCGCCACCTGATCGCATAAGGTCTGTCTCCTCTCGCCGGCCCGCCCCCGCACGGCCGCTCCCGTTTGACTTCGCCCGCCCCCGCCGCGGAGTAAATTTAGCCGCGGCAGCCGCCGCCCGCCGCCCGCCGCCGCAGCGCCACGCAGTCGAGCGGCGCGTCGTGACCCCTGCCGTGCTGTTGCAGACACCCTCTCCGACCCATCAGCTGGCGACTCCGCTTGCCGGCGGAGGACGCGGCGTCGCTGCGGACGCCGGCGACGGCCGGGGGACGGGCGCTGGGGCGCGGGCGACGTGCAGGCGGGGCCCGGGCCCGCCGCCCCCGCACGCGGCCCCTCACGCCCCCGCGCAGCGCCCGCTGCGCCTCGACATCCTGCCGCCGCCGCCCGCCACCTCCAGCCGCCGCTCGCCGCTCGTGAGTACCCTCTGGCGCTCATCACTCAGCGCTGCCCCTTGCGCAAGGACAGGGGAAGACGCGGCTTCTCTGGCGCCAAATAGAAACGATTTTCTTTGCAAGACGACAACTTCTATCTGCTATTTTCCCCAAAAAATCTAACGAAATGACCGATGCAGGTAAAGTTCTATCACAGGAGATACCTCGAACTACTAAGAAAGTTAGAACGCAAATTATTGCGAATGTTGCGAAGGCACGGCTCTTTCTCTAGAGATTGGCATTGCTTCATAAAATCTAGTGTCCGATTTCGTAACTAATACCCCCACTCTACCCGCATTTCTTCAATCCATCCTTCAAGAAAGGTTGCGCGAGTAATACCTGGACGTTCGGGGTGCGCGAAAAGACTCGCTCTGGGGTGCCCAACTTGCAAGGCCTCCAGGCCCACCGCTAACATTTCGCTGCACTGCTTTAATACGGGTGGTCACCGTTCTCCCTTTCCACTACGCGGCCTCGGCTTCGATTCCCGGTCGGGTCAAGGTTACTGTGTTCCTTTTCCTTGCAGTGTCCCAGTATATGTAGCTGTGTGACGATGAGAAAATCACTTCTCAGGTTGAGAAGACCGGAATACGGCGTAGGGATGTCTACGTGCTAACGTGCCTTAATCTATGGCCGCGAGGCAGGGACGTCGCCGGGAGGCCTGAGCCCGTTCACGGGCTGTCGCGCCAAGTGCATGCATACACACTTACTTTCATACGCTTGCGAGCCGTATTTCCTTACTCGGGCGCGGCGCGCCTGCCTTTTCCGTGGTGTTGATCTCTGCATTCGCCTGCGGCTCCGAAGCGGGGAAGGGGGTGTGTGAGATCAGGCTGTACTCAATTTACTAGAAAAACGTTCGTGAGTCTAAATAGGGACTTAATTTTACATTAAGGGGTGTTGACTACGACCGGGCGCGGGCACTAGGCACGAAAAGAGCGTCTCAGAGAAATAAGTAGACCAGGTTTGTCCAAATGTGACCCGCGGTGCCATTTTTTGTGGCCCCGAAAGGTTATTTACCAAATGTGAATGTCCCTCGCATCCATGTCGGGCTAGAACATTCTGCGTCTAGCTCACGTTCCCTGTCGCGATCAACAACCCCTTAATGTAAAAATACGTTACGTTTGCATTTACAGATTTTTCTAGAAAAATCATAAATTCAAAATCATTTCCATGTGTTTCGCTGCGTTTTGCCTGGTACGGGTACAAATCAGGCCTGGTTCCATAGCCCCGGAACAGAGCAGGGCGCCGAGACGAGCCATTACGAGTGGATCGCCCCAGTAATGAAGATATGGCCCGCAACTATATTAAAGGCTTTACCCGTGACCCTTGAAGCCTTGAAAGTTGGACACCCCTGACCTAGACGATGAGGTAGCAAGAAAAGACTCGCTCAGAGAAATAAGTACAACATCGGCAGGCACGAAAAGAGTACCTCGGAGAAATAAGAACTAGATTGCGATCCACTAAAATAATAAAACTCATAATCAATTACAAGTCACGGGAAGAATCAGAAATAGTTCATTAGAATGCACATAAAGAACCTGTCAAGACAGTTGAGATTACGTAGACTTGACACATACATGGAATCTTGACAAGAATTTGCCAAGATTAGAATGCACGGAAAGGGCCAAATACGAGTACATAATCAATTAGAATGCATGGGGAAAAGGTCACGAAATACTGAGTCGGTTAGGGGGCGGGTATAGACTGGCCGAATGGCCATACTATAGCCAAATGGCCGAAGTAGTTCTCTCCTTACACTGCTGCCTTTATAAATAGGACGGCTAGACCTACTTTTTAGAAAGTGATTTAAAATAATTTGTACTTTTAACAGACTATTGTAGAATATTTATTTTGAGGATAAATATTATAGTTTGGTAGAATAAATTTGTATTAAATTACTTTTTTATTTACATACCATTCTTCAATTGCGATCGATTTTTAAAAAATGTTGCAACTCTGGTTTCCAATTGAAATTTTAGCATTTTAAACTAATAGCTTGTTCTTTAGTAATGTGCATTAAAGTCTCTGAGTTACAATATCATGGTTCATTATCCTTCTAACGGAAAAACAATTAGCTTCTCTATACTTGAGATTTACAATTAAATCTATTTTTTAATAATAAAAAAAACATTCCATTTGAATACTGCCTGAAAATCAGAGCTGCAATTTTCCTGCTGCCGAGGCAGGAGTCGGAAGCCTTGTGATGATTAGGATACTCTAGAATAAAACACCTATAAAAATGAATATGAATTGATATGAATATTTCTATAACACAGTTTATAAAATGACACTTTACTTAGACCGTTAGTGCTGGAGCTGCTGGAGTTTTTTTATATTTACCCGGTATTTCAAGTCTAACACACTCGAACTCAAACTACCGTTTTTGGCACGTGACTACCCGGAGGGCAGGAAGAACTTCGCCCACGTATTATCAGGGTTGGGCAGTATTTAAATACTTGTATTTGAAGTACATATTTTCAATACATTTTGTATTTGAAAAGCTTTTTTAGTTGTTTTGGACATGTAGTTTAAAGATGCATTTCAACATGCAATGAAATAGAACGAACTTTCGTTGTAAGCAAATTGATAGTTTCTACACAAATGATACAAAGCAACATATGCGATAGTAAGAAGGTTCCGTGGCCAAAAAAGTCGAAACCGCTGCTGTACGTAGGGTTGTATTTTTCCACGAGCGAAATAAGCAGTTTCTTAAATCCATGAAATAGCACTATAAAATAGTCAAAAACGTCATAAAATGTTTATATTTGTAAAATATTTATTAACAGACATCAGATGTTTAAGGAAATTCCTATTTTATTCTAGCGAACTTATTTAAAAGCTTATTTAAGATAATATATGACAAATGATAAAGTTCTATCGTGTTAATTTTGCCTTTTTAGCATAAACGTCTCTTTTGCATAACTACCTTTTTTAGAATAATGGGGCATTTTTGCCTTTTATGTATTATTTTGATTTATAGTGCTAAGATATCAGAAAATCGGCCAAAGGAACCATTCATTACGAAACCTTCAATTCATGTCTTTGTATTTTAAAATGCGAGCGAATTCCTAAAACTGTACCTACAGATTTTTCACCATATCCCTATTTTATAAGTATTAGCCAGATTTCGAGAACACGGTCGATCGACAAAACACCGAGGGCACTGAACATTTAAGTGGAAATAATTCTAAATTCTCTGAAGGTTTGTCTTACTGATGTTGGACTTCTAAACTATTTGCCAGTCACATGAGGATATGTTGAGAGATCCTTCTCCACATTCAAACTGATATTGACTCCTCATCGTCGCAAATTTGAAATTGTGATCCTTTAAAAGTTACTGATAATATATTATTAGGAATAAAATGTCGAAGAGTTGTAAATATGTAAATCTAGTTTTGCATTCAAATATACTTACTTGTCTTGTGCAATTAAGTTTAAAAAATAATATTAAAAAATACAAAAAAAAAATCATTGTATTATATATCTAACTTATGACAGTGCCTTTTTAGACGCCTAAAAGACGATTTTTGTGTCTAAACATCCGATGTTTAGTTATTAATTAAATAGTCTAGTGTACTATAAAATATTACATTACATCGAGTGCCAAACGATACTTTTTTCTACGACTTAATGGTCACTTGTATCAGAAACATTTACATTGAATCGTTTCGTGGCAGTTTCCATGCAGGATTCAGCCACGTCCACGTTGCGGACAGCTACCCTACCCTGCCTCAGGTGGCTTTGGTTCAACACTGCGCTAGTCAAATAGGATTAAATTGAAATTACATTCCAATTAAAATAATAATTCTCGTAAAAATTACTAATAATAAAATAAATTAAAACTGACTAGCATAATATAATATTAAATACAATTTTAATGTACACAATCGATCGAAACATTAACTGGAGCAATTTATAATTGTCATTACTGGGTTTGTAAATGTATCTGTGATTGGTGAAGAACATGTATCGTAATGAAATCTGTGTCGTAAAGAGTGACATTATGCAGCCACCAAGTGCCATAATTGTACAGTGGGAGTGGAAGGGCGTTGCTCTTTACAAGGAGGGGGCGCGGGTGCGTCTGCGCAGGGGTGCGGCGGCGTGGGCGGCGGCGGCGAGACGTACGCGTCGCCCCTGGGCGAGCCGCTGCGCGCGACGCCGGGCGAGGCGCTGCCGTCGGCCGGCACGCCGCTGGGCGCGCACCACGAGCTGCAGCTGCTGCGCGAGCAACTGGAACAGCAGGCGCAGCAGACGCAGGCGGCCGTGGCGCAGGTGCACCTGCTGCGCGACCAGCTCTCGGCCGAGACCACGGCCCGGCTCGAGGCGCAGGTAAGACACGCGCCACGGCTAGCGAAACATCGTCGCCGAAGGCGAAATTGCGCGTAAAGTACACAAATTTTCAAAAATTGTACATTACCTTATTTAAAAATTCATCTTTAAGGAACAGATTTCACAAAGGGAAAAGTCTCAATCTTTAATATTTTTATTGTAGGAAGACTGATTGTTTTTTTGAACTTTTGCAATTTTCTAAAGATTTTTTAACAAACATGACCCCTGCACCATTCTCTTAAACCTCTTTCACACTATCCAACAAAAAATATTTTAAAAAATCTATGGAGCCATTTGTTTGAAAATTTGAAAAATATCCCTGGTGGTCCTATGTAAAGTACCCTCCAAAATTAAAATATCGGTTTCAAATTTATGGGGCCGCGACATGTACGAGATGGATTGGGGAATATCAATTTTGGAGAAAATCGGCTGAACTGTTTAGGACTTATGAAACGTGGATTCTGGCTACACCACGTGTTAGAGGATTTTCCCCTCTAAATTTGGCAACTGTATTTATCCACTTTTTTTCGTTACCAGGACCCTGTAATACGAGTTTTCTACCCAAAATTTACTGATACTTATGCATTTCATAACTTTCTCTCTGTTGCGTTAACGGTAGTGAGAAAGTAAGTAGGGCATCATTATTCTTCTCTCCCGCTGATTCCAGAAATAACGCAGATGCCCTAAAATTAGTTGTATTTCTAATTATTAAATAACAATCTTATTTAAAATTGTTTGTGTTCGTTAGATATTTAAGAACTGTACCTTTGTGAATAGCTTCATACTGGACCCCACACTCAAACGGCCCCTATAAGCCCAACAATTGAAGCTGTTAATTTACTTTCTCATAGATTTTTACGTTTTTCTCAATTCTGATTGTGTGTGCAGTGGGGCTACCCAGAAGAATCCAAAAGAATAATAACAATGACAAAAATACATAAAAAATAAAACTTCAAAAGGCTCGTTTGTAGAATACAGCATAAAGAAATATACCTTAGGCTCTATTCGCCCTACGCATATTCCCTGCAAGTCCCGTAAGTGTGCTCTGCTCGTACCTTGCATGTTCTCTACAAATTCCTCATGTTCCCTTGCATTCTCTCAGTATGCTTTCCACACATTTCCTGCATATATCTCAAATATTTTCCCACGTTCCTCATATAACCTCATGTTCCCTCACATCTCTGCATGTTCTCCACACGCTCCCGACATGTCAATCTGGAAATTAAACTCCAAAGTCTAAAATTTAATTGGAGTGCTTTTTATTACAAAATACTATTATCAACTTTACAGCGGCACATAGTACAGTGACTTCCCTGGTGGATTATGCAGAAGTGTCAGTTGCCAGTGCATCCAGGAGAATGGAAACTCCAAACAGCTTAATAGAAGGACTGCTAAGATTTTTTGCAAAACAATTTAATCTCAAAATCATTCAGTTTTTAAATAACAGTCTTGAAAGTGAAAATAGTTTTACCCTGGAACCCAACTTCTAGTGTTTCAGGCAAACTGTGTCAGAGTTCGGAATCCTTCCAGAGTCATGTTAGTGTCAAAAATAGTCTAATTTTGTAGACATAAAAAATATAACAACATAAATTGTGGCCCTTACAGGGTCAAAAATCATGTTTTTAGGCCCTCAAATGCCTTGTTTCCGAGTAATGCACAATGATAAAGTATGCTGCATCATTTGTATGATCAATTTCTCAAATTTGCCATAATCTGCAAATTTATATTTCCTTTGCCTAAAAACTCTTTTGTGCATGACTGGAGGAAAATCCCCTAACTAGCAGTTACATGCTATGGGAATCAGTGCCTATTCTTTCTTATAAACTCTTAAAACTATCATCTTTCCTTAGTGTTATATGTAGAGAGGTTTAAATTTACTAGTAAAATTAAATATTCAAATTAGAGGAGTTACCTTTGAAATTTTGATTGTGATTTCTGATTGTCAGGGCCACATTTACCTACAAACAAAACAAGCAGTTATTTGGGGGCTCCCATCCATGAGAAGCCCTGGTCTTTGGAAATAAATTTCAATTTTAATGTAATAAATATAATATATGTAAAATATTTTGTTTTCATTTGTATTTGTACAGAAAGTACTTGTATTAAGATAAGTTGTTTTATTTAATAAATATGGAGCTATTTTTTTGGAGAGGAAGGGGACAAGTTAATTTTGTGCTTCGGGTTCCCAGAATACTTAACTTCGGCCCTGCTGATTATGCTTACCTCAGTCCTATGTGATAAGTTATGAAACATTTAATTGATGAGATTTTTCACTTTCAGGCACGCACACATCAGTTGCTCGTCCACAATAAAGAGCTATTAGATCATATTGCAGTGCTTGTAGCACACTTACAAGAGCAAGAAAGACATCTTGCTGCTGCGCAAGCTACAAATCAACATCAACATCAACAACAACAGCATCAGCAACAGAGGCTAATTCAGCAGTCTCTGACTCATCAAACTCCTCATGTAGTGACAAGCGTTCCACAAGTAAGCCGACTGTTACTCCTTGTTACTTTGTAACTTGCCTTTATATAACTGGTATCAAACTGGCTGGTATTATGATAGTATTATTATTGTTATTATTTATATTTGAATAAAACTAACTTATTTTACTATTACGCTTAAATTAATTGTTACATTCTTTAACTGACAAAAAATAAATTGAAAAATGTCATAAACTCAATGATATCTGTAGTAAAAGAATGAATATTTTGAATAGGTTTAAAAAAAATCAGAATATGATGCTTCATTTTTCTTTTTGGCATTTCTAATTGGAAAAAAATCTTTGTGATTCTCAGATTTGCCAGCCAGGATTGAAAATACAAATTGACTTCCTCCTATTGCATCTGACTTGCTTCCTCTGATCTTCCATAACTCTATTATGTTACCATCTTTGAAATAACAAATTGTTGTTAATAAAACAAGAGCATTATTGTTCAGACAAAAGGTCTTCAGGAGTTTCTGCCCTGAGAAATTTATCAATATTGCAGAAAGTAACCTCTGTGGCCTAAGTATTCAATGAGGTTTTGAAATGTTCCATCAGAAATCATAGAACTAATAATTTTTTTTAGTAGACTATGTCACTATTAAAGAATTTGCACACACGTGTATTTTAGTACCTTACTTTTACATTGTTCCATTCTGTGATATAGTTTAATGATAATTCAAATATTATAAATGAATAGTATAATTTTTTCTTGTAGACTACTGAAGTGAGCAGGACAGATTATTTCAGTACCTTAGAAATCAATGATACCTTGCATGCATGCTGTCATTAATGAAGGCTTTTCTGTTTAGCTTTATTTCAAGGCAGGTTGTGCTTCTCTTTTTACCTTTCTTTTGGCTGATGTAATATCTTATCATTTGCATGGCTGAAGATTGCAAGACACATGCTTGCATGATATAATGAAATGTTTTTGAAATATTCTTATTTAAGCTCTGTTTTTATAGTATCAAGTCTTTCTGTTTTTTATTTTTTATTTTTTTATGTGTGAAGCTTTATAGTTGCATCATGTACTCTGCTTTTTAATATTATTCACCTGAAACATAATATTTTTAATTTTAATTGATCATAATCTTTCGTTCTGTGACACTACGTTTTACTTTCAACAAAAAGTTCAACTGATTTGCCCTTCATCCGTTGTTCCAATTGAGACTATTATTTCATATTATATTCCACATTTGTTTACACAATTGCATTACATAAAGTCCTCGGAAAAGGATCAACAACATTTTCATATTTGAAAGAAAATAGAATGGTTTGGCATTTTATTTTGCATTGCTGAATGAGAAACTACTATGTATTGTTTTATGCACTTTGTGCCTCATGCATTATAGAGTATAGTGTTTTTTAAAAGCACAATAATGCTACACTTTGCTGACAGATAGACTATTGGTCAACTCCATATACAAGAGGAAGTGGAAACAAAAATGTACTGAATTTAGTTCAGTTTTAGATGGCTGAGAAAAGAACATCTAACAAGTCTATCATACTTTATCTGAGGATTTGTGAAACAATTTGCAACCATAACATTAAATGTAACATACCAGAGTTTATAATAAGATGATGTAGATGTGAACTTCTGCAGTCAATAGTGTTTATATATACACTATAAATTGCAAGTGACATAATTACTGCCTGTCACACAGTGGCATTGTGCAAGTGTTTTATTGAATGCATTGTACTGAACTAATATGTTATACTCCTTGAATGAGTTGATGTTTTGTTTTATCCTTTACCCTTATTAAAGTTTCCCTAAAATGTTTGTTTCTCCTGTTTTTATTTGAATGATAAATGAATTGACTAGAATTGTAAGAGACAGCACAACAAGAGGCTTAAGAACATTTAACTTAACAGTAACAGTGTTTTTTGTTATTTTAACTGAAACATGAACTATTGTATTGTCTAAATTGTGCGTTTTGGGATCGCAGGTAAACCTCACAGGGTGCTGTCCTTTACAGCATGCAGTAGCCAGTGCTACCTAGCCCAGGCGAGTAGTCCGGTGTACCCTTGTTTGTGGTCAATTGTCCCAAACTTTGTGCCTTGTAGTACATGTTTTTACATGCATGTGGCCTGTATGAATGTCACCACAATCTATTTAGTACGATACTTGTATAAACCATTTTAAATTTCAATGTAATAGAAATTTAAATTTTTTGTTGTGCTTTGAAAAGAAAACTTTAATGAGGCTATGTCATTGATGAAACTATAAAACGTTTGTGTGTTCAGACTACTGACAAGGGTACCACTACAGCTGCCACCTGGGCTTTGGTTGCTGTTACAGGTCTTTCCTAAAGGCAACTTGCTGGATCTTATATCCACGAGTAACTCTTGATTTCCCAAGGAAAGTAACTAACTCCTGTTGTGACTTATGTATAAAACAGACCAGTGAAACATATGGACTTCAGTTCGCTTCCCCTTCAGAGGGTACATTAAGCTTTTCATTTATGCCTCAGAGTGAGGAGCTTGTGCAATTTTGAAATTCCTTGCTCACCCATCGTGCAAGGGCTGATTAATTAAACTCCTAAGAGTGAAGGATAAAAGGGATTGCTGAAGATTTGCTCTGCTCTGGGTATTGCTTAAGAAAGTCATTAAGTATATCTGAATGGGTTTTTTTATTAACTTTAAAAACATTTATCTTAACAATTTAAAAGTTTCAAAATTTTATTTTTATTTCAACTTGAACCTGAGATTCTATTAATTCAAAACAAATGAAGAATAAACTCATGATTCTTCAGGTACCAAAGTTAGAGTACTAGCTTAAGTACTTAGATTGACTCCAATGTTTCACAAGTTTGTCAAAGAACACCTTATGAACTATTACACTATTGGAAAATAGCAGAGTTAATTACTTTACTTCTGTACTTTCTAATAGTGCTGATACATTGGTGTTCAAATATTGAATTAGTTCTCAGTGGTGTTTCTCTTTGATTTTTATAGAAAGTGTGAGAGGCATGCAGATAAGACTTGTAGTGAGACATCACAGATATGTAATTTCAGATTGTCTTTGTTTTTGTCACATAATTATCTATTTTCAAAAAGATAATAGTATGGGAATATGTTCCTGTACATTTCACAGTGTTTGGAAAATGTGACCAAAATAACTTACATATATATTTACCAATATATTCACTGTAAATCAAATGGTTTATTTTGTGCCGTGTATACTTACATAAAAATTTTACATACTGAGTTTCAAACCTATCATCAAAAAGTGTGTGATGGAATGTGTGGTTCCCAATGTACTGAAAAAGATTCAGTATTTTATAAAACTTTTTTGGTTCAAAAAACATATCTACAGGCAAGTGTATTGATTAATATACAATGTTACTTCCTTCACAAACCTTTCCAAAGATATTTAAATTACATTTTACACATAAAATACTTTGCAAATTGAAAGATCGATGAGATAGCAGACCAGACAGATTTTATTATATAATGTTATGTATTAAATTACATTTTTGACCATGGTTGTACTTGCATGGAAAAAGATTTTAAAAAGTGATAATGACAATTTGTGCCTGCAATACTGTAATATGAGGAATAGGCATTGTTTTGAATTCCTTACTTTGCGTAGATTTTAGTTAGTTTGCATAGATAATGCAAAAATTTAGAAGTATGATAAATCTCAATTTCTTTCTAGATTTTTATGACAATTAGAAATTTTGTCTTACTTGACAGACCCAGGCATTGTAATAAAGATTTTCAAAAATTGTAACTATGTAAAAATAAATTAAAGCAATTCAAGAGATGAATTGTGTTACCTCAAATCTTAAAGTGATAGGAAAAAGTTCTTTACTCAATATCTTGACATTGACGTTCAAATTACTGAGGATAATAATTTAAGTTGAAAATGTAGATCACCACAATTAACTAACATAACTCTTTTGTGCCTTGAACATCTAAATGTGCAAAATTGATTAATCATAGAAATATTTACAAACATTCACAATCTATGCAATATTATTGGTCAGATCAGATCTGAGAAAACTGTATTATCAAGTACAGTGGCCATAGCCAAACCAATATTAATAGCAGGATGGAATTCTGTCAGTATTTTGCATCCAGAAAATTGTTTTTATCAAGGTTCTTATTTCATGATATTTGACTTACAGCAGTAAAGGAACACTTCTAGGATGATGGAAAGTACAGGGAAACAAAAAGAGAAAACAAGAAATAGAGAATTATTGCTTTTAAAAAAATATAGTGAGATAACAGTAATAAATTAAAATTTATATTTAAAAATTTCATATAATAAACCATTTTCATAAAGAGGATGAGAAAAATCCGAAAGAAAGATAATTCTGGGCCAAACTTATAAGTTGATCCATATATTGGTAAAATTTGCAAAAGAATGTATTGTGCAGATGGTGAGACATTAGCAAGAAATGGGTGTAAAAAAGAAGGGGGGAATAAATTCTTTGATAAAGAGATATGTTAGAACAAATAATTTGTAGGATTAAAATTACCATATGCGTTTTTTGTATTGTTTTCATCAATTGCTAATTTAAGTGAAGTTGAAAAAATATTTAATCGTAGAAAGTGTTCATTTTTTAATTTTTTTAAAATAAATATAAATATAAATCAAAATTTATGTGCACTTTTAAAATGATTTTTGCAAAACTGGCATTAAGGTCTGATGACCAATTGAATTTATTTCAATCACATTCCTAGTTTGTTCAGTGTTTTTGGTATCTAGTACCCAGTGACGTAGTACGAGTGTCAGCTGCCGGGGCTGAGGAAAATTTTGCCACCCCCTTATTTAGGAGCAAAATATGCAAGCTTGAACAATGTAGCAGATCGTCATACATTCAATTACATAAATAAAAATGTAAATAAAATAATTAATACGAAGTCAAATGTATAAATACACAAATAAACTTTTTCAACAAAGCTCAATAATTTAATAATCACTACATGCATTTATGAGCACTAAAATCACTATTTGGAAAAATCATACATATAGTATACGATTAAGGTAATGTGAATTGGACATCAATGAAACTTTCTTGGAATTGTCAAACAAGTCAGTAAAGATGGTGTTGCCATACACGATTTTGGGTGAAATGGAAAGGTGTTCCAGTACCTAGGGAATAATTATTGAATTATCTTATAAATATATAATTATTTCTTTTAAATCAGGGACAGATACAGTGATGAATTTGTGGAGGGGAAATTCAAAATGTTTTCGTCGAATATGTTGTATTACCAGGGGTGGAATCAGCAGATCATTTTGGGAGAACCATTGTATATTTTTGTTAAATAACAAACATTTGTTATTATATTGTATGTTATTTATGTACCGGAGATATATTATAAACTATTACTGCGATACGATTTTATTTATTTTAATGATAATATTTTTTCTTGTAAGTCTCTGGCAAGATGAAATGAATACTTATCGCGACCGATTATATTAATAATTAATTTGAGGTGCAGGTTTCTGGGCCATTTTATAAATTTTAGAAATGAAGCACTGCATGTAGATATGAATTGGTAGGAGAAGGAAAAGCGACCCCCCCCCCTAGCACTACGTTGGGAACCACGCTGCTGAAGGTGCGCCGTGTGCTGAGCGTGTGTCCGCCGCCAGATGCCGACGGCCATCCTGTGCGAGGCGCAGACGCCGACGGCGGCGCCGGCCTACCTGCCGGCGGAGCTGGGCGGCGCGGACCTGGACCTGCTGGCGCGCGCGGGCCTCATCGAGAACCGCTCCGCGCCGCCGGCCTCGGTGTCGGCGGCGGCCGCGGCGGTGGCTGCGGCGGCGGCGTCCTCGCGCCCCGCCTCCCTCTACGACCAACTCTTCCACCAGCAGCTGCTCCAGGCGCTGGGGGCGTACCGGCCCCCGGCCTTCTACCCGCCCGCCGCGGCGCCGCCACCGCTGTACGGCGCGCCGCCCGCCTACCGCGTGTCGCAAGCCTCGAGCTATTCGGGCTCGCCGGTGCTGCCCCGCGCGGCCGCCGGCGGCGCCACCGCCGCCCCGGAGCCTGACCCGCCGCCCGATCGCCAGCCGTCCCCGCTGCAGCCCAAGCACAAACAGCAGCAGCAGCAGCAGGCGGCGGGGGCGTCGCCGACGCGGCCGCGCAAGCCGGCGCTCGAGGCCACCTTCATCAAGCCGCTGCCCCACACGGTGATCGTGGCGTGCGCCAGCGACGACCTCGCGCCCGTCTCTTCCTCCACGACCTCCCGCCGCAAGAACACCAACACGCTCAAAGTGGGAGGCGAGGGCGCGCCCGCCGGCCGCCTGCTCAACGGGCCGCCCCTCATCTCGCGCTCTACCAGCGAGAAGGTGCCCCACCGCTCCGAGCTCATGTCGCAGGTGCAGAGGACAGCCTGGGCGCGACACACCACCAAGTAGTTGTAGGCGCGCCCGCCAGGGGCGGGCGCGGGCGCGGTATTGGGCTCGCTCCACACAAGACGTGAGGACTCCCAAGCGAAAAACGGGTTGCGTTACGGGTTAGCCACTTGTACACGAAGAGATTTATGCATAGTTCTTTCCAGGAGGGAAAAACTGAGGTCGAGAACCTTCCTTCTCAGACATGAGTTGCGGCTCTTTTTATGAATCCCAAAGAGAATCATGTAACCGGTGCTGTGTTGCGTTTGGGAACCTTTAAGACTGTCTTGTGTGCCAAGAGGACTGTGCCATCCAACTGAGATGCTATATCCTGGGTTCGTGAATATGGGTATGCTCTCTTGCCAAAGTCTGGAGACAGTAATGTCATCCGTTGCTGCCATTTGTAAAGACTCAGCTGATTGTACCTTGTGAAATTGTATCAAGTTCTTCATAAGTTAACTTATTGCCAAATTGTTTTGTACATACCTTATTTTTAGCTTTTAGTATCCTAAATGTTATTTCCCCTAGTTCAGTGTGAAAAACGATGGAGATGACCAATAGTCTTAGGTAGGATACCTCTGACATTTTTGTATGCTATAGAATCCATCTTTTGTGATAATAATACTTTGTAGAAAAATAATGTTTTACTGTATTCTTTTCTCATTATATTATCTAATTTGATTCCAAACTTGATTCAAATAACATATTTATTACAAAATCAGCAGCATTTTGAAATGTATTACAATGTTATTGTTGCTCTACACCATGCAAATTCTCATTCCTTGAACCATTTGAAGTTTTATGAAATTGAACTGTATTGTAACTTTACTTTTATTCCCATATTAGAGAGAAATTTTTTTGTGAATTTTTTAGACATTTACAAAATTTGGTGATCTACTTTTATGAAATGCCTTTATTTTCACACAAATATATTTAATTGAAAGTTCTTGTTGCCTCCAATAATGTTGCAAATTATCACAAAGTGCAAACTAGAGATCCCTCTGAGGGATGTTCCTATAAAACTTTTACAACATTTCAATTGTTCCTGTGCCTCCTTTATTCTATTTGCTTTCTGAATCTAGTTCAGTATGTAGTGTCAACACTGTGACAAAAACTGTTTGTAGTGACAGTATCATTAATTTTCAATTAAAAAAGTATTTGTTGTGGACATTTGAAAAATTCTTATTACTCCTTCAAATTTCAAGTCTCGTGAACAAATTAAAATCTGATACACTTCAGAATTGAAATTATACCCTTATACAAAATGGGACTATTTTTATCAAAAAATAACCCCAAAAAACTAAGCAATCTGGATACCAGTGTTGATACTTCAACTGTCTTAATTATCAGGTAGGATGTCATTGTATAGTATCCATTAGTGCAACAGACAAACAATAAAGGTATTTTTGTAACAGCATCGTACATGTGATCTTCTTGACCTTCTCCTATGAAATGAACAATAGAAGAGCTCAGTCTGCTTAATTTTGTTTTATTTTTATATTTTTAGTTATTCTCAAATAGTAATGATATATCTTTCTGATTTTATCACTTCAGACTATAGAGATGTTTTCATAAGATTGTCAAAATGTCAGTAAATCTGAATGTATAAGCTCTATGAAGCAATGTCTGAAAACTTATTGTGATAAAACAGTTATTGCAGATTCATACAATAATGAAAGTTAACCCTTGTTCTTCAAAAACCTCATTTTCAAGAACTAGTGAAACTCTACACAATAGTCTATCTTGTTCGCTTTATTTCCCTACTAAGGCCTGGCTCTTCAGATATTGAACTACAGGTTTGAGAGGACTTCTCAGCAGTTTGGTTTCGGGGAGGGAGGGGGCGTCAGAGGGCTTTTGTGGGTACAAACAACTCAAAATCATTTATTTTTGTACTCCATTTTGCTACCTTGAAAATATTATGTAATTTCATTACTTCTGCACTTTGTCTTTGTTCACCATCAGATAAACATTACATTCATTGTCTTTCATTACCATCAATCAAACTCTAGTAGTACAAATGTTTTGTACAGTTGTTAGTGGTTTAAACAATAAGTTTTTCGTCTTCCCTTATTTATATACAGTGAAATCTCGTTATCAGGTTTTCCCGCTTAGTACGTTTGTATTTTCAAGTCTGGCACCAATTCCATCATATTATTCGTGTACAGTATAGCAATGTCGCTTAGGGCATGAACGTTTATATAGGTAACTGGCTTCGTGAAAGACACGCGTTTTCCAATGCATTATGCAATCTTTTCTTTCTTTCTTCTTCCTGTTGTTGTCGTCAGGCGACTCACGAGGGTTGCGTTGATGCGCATCACCAAACGCTGGTGACGTTAGCTCTAACGACGCCTGCGCAAATGAGTCAGGAGCGCTGTCGGCGGCTCAGGAACACCATCTAGATCTGTAATAAGGTGGTGCTTCAGGCGCTGGCATCAACGCACGTCGCCATAGCGCTCGTGTGCCGTTTCGAAAGATACAATGGTAATCTACGACGCACGTTAAAGTCACTCTTGTGCATAGGAATACCTGCGCGTCGACGCAGCTTACGTCATTCGCAACAGGTGATGCGTGTCAACACAACGCAACCTCATGCGCCACAGGCCTTATTGTACATTACTTTGAATAAACCAAATAGAACAAAAAAGCAAGACTTGTGTGTGAATGAGTTAAGTTTACCTCGACGATATTTGCACTTATTTTCGTATTCATTCTATTACCGTAGTTTGTAGACGGAAATGTGAAAAGTATAAACTGTACTTTTTACGTTAGCAGGTTTTCCCGCTTTAAAAAATTTCGGTCCCTTGAAAAACTAACGTGATTCCACTGTATTATATATTTTCAATCAATTCTCATTGCAAATTAATGTCATTTATTATATTTCATTTCTGACTAATTTGCCTTCTGTGCTTATTTGTATCATTGATCTGTTTCTTTTAGAGCTGTGCATGCACAGGTGGTTTGAATAATGGCTATGGGATTGTTCCTATTCTTCTTTATTCCAGATTTACATTAATTATGAAATAAGATCAGAAACATTTTGCTTTTATCTTTATGTTCATTACAATGTAGATGGAAAATATTGACTGACTGTTTCAGCTCACCGTGTCAGATAAGGTGAGCCGTTGGTTTGAACTGCAGCCCTCGTTGTCTCGACCAGAAAGTGGATTTGTTGATGAACAACCCGAACACCATCGCGTCGACTGGGATGCCGCTGAAGCTTTACTTCTGAAACGACTTAGATCTGGGCGCAGACGCCACAGAATTCCAGGTTTACGATTAGGTCGTGTGACAACCTTCTGACGATTGTAATAATTATACAGCACAACTGGCCATAATTTCATAATTATATTGCTGTATAACTTTCTGCTCCTTTCTTACCCAAGGAAAGGTGACTGAATGTAGATCTTTTAAATTCAGAAACAACTAACCAATGGTAAATGCATTTAAGTGATCTGAATTTCTACACTTTTTGTCAGTTTTGTTTTAGTATTATACTTTATTGAAGGCTGAAAAACAAGATAGTTGCTAGGCCTGATTCCTTCCATACAACCATTTCAATTGCATTTATTTTTTACTTCAGCTTGTATATCATGCTTATCTTCCCATTTATGTAAGACATTTCTTTTTAAATGTGCAGTTGTACCACAGACACATTTTTCTTTGTCATGCAATCTTTTATTATCACTATCTTTACATTACCATCTTCATTGACAGTTATGTTTAAACATTGTTTTTACCTAACTTCTCTTCTAAATACTATGCAAGACTTTATATAAAGCATTCATTACAAAACTCTTTAAATAATAATAATAATAATACTTTCCAGTGCCAAAGAAATGAATTTTCAAGGTGCATTTTTCATTGATCCAGTCATGTTCAATTAACGTTATATGAACAGTATTACATAAGTAATTATATAATTCTTCTGTACATTTTTATGTCCATCTGTCCTGTTTAAATACCCAGAATGCAGAAATAATATTAAGATAGATGACAATCAGTGTGTTGTGACACACATCTTTTACATGCAGTTCCATGACAGTAGGTCATGTTATATTTTTATATAATTAGAATAAGATAATTTTATCAATAGTATGCAATTTGGAGACTGAAACAAGGAAGTCGCAATATGTTGAATGTGACATTTTAGTTCTCAAATTGTTCTTTAAAGTAAGCGTACACTCTTACGGGTCTGCTTTCTTGAGAAAATAGGCTAAGTGAGAGTAATATTTTTAAAACAAACAAGGAATGTATTTTATTGACTAGGCTCTCTAATCACTTTGACGTAGAAATCCCTTAAACTTTACTTAAGTCTTCTTCAAAGCACTGATTCGTTGGTTTTTTTTTTTTTTTTTTTTTTTTTTTTTTTTTTTTTTTTTAACTAGAATGCTCATTTTTCATTATGAAAGAAGACTTTATTCAGTAGAAAACAAATGCAGAATCTTTAAATTTATAATTTTTGTATTTTAATAGTCAAATTACTTTAGAAATATCGATTTACTTTTAAATTTTAGTTTAGTTAAAAACATTATATTTATTCTGTTAAGACCAATGATTTACCATTTTAATGAAACTTAAGTGTCTCAAATGTAACATTAAGTTTGTAAAAAAAATAAAAATTACTTGTGATTTTTGTAAATTTGTGTTAAATAGCAAAGTCATAGACTGGGATAGGGAAATGAAGAAAACACTTTATTCTATGAAAAGTAATATTTTTATTTCTCTTTGCTAGCTGGTTCAGTACTAGTAGATTCTTTACTTTTCTTTTTGCGAATACTGAAGCTCAGACTATCTTTGTCAAATTCTAACGGCATCACACCCAAATCACCACTATAACGATTCTTGGCCACCTACAACAGGATAAGTTAATGCAAAGACTTAAAAAAAGCAATAATTTGATGGTTAATAATATGTATCTCAAAACTTGCCATTTTTCAACAGAGAGAAAAGATTGCAAGCTTTCCAAGTTTAAAAAATGTGACAAATTTACATATTCTAACAAATTTCCATGATAAATTTCAATAGTATTTGTTACAAAACTATTTTAATCTTTTGAGCGACATCTCAAAATGGTCAAATTTTGTGGTACATGTTGTTAAAATTTAGGCATAGATATTACAAGATACACCCCTAAACAAAATATTCTAAAGACCTCAATAATAACACATATCAAATACAAATTCTTAATTTATTTTTATTAGATTAAGGACTATTTCCTCTAGATGAATGTTAACTATAATCTGCAATTTCCATGCTTTTGAACTAAATGCAAAAGAAGGGTCGTAAAATTATTACATTTTTCTTGGTTATCTCCGACAAGAGCGACTACCTCCCACTTCCTCCGCTGGTAAATTCTGGCTACAGTTTACCACCAATTAAGGTGTAGAGCACAGAACCACAAGAACATTACAACACAGCACCATACAAGTTCCCATCACTTTTCTTTGTTTCACAACTGAAATGCATCAAAATCCTAATTGGTGATCATGATATACAGTTAATATTGCACAAATCCAGAGTTCTCACAGAAAATAAAAGTCAAAACCATACATGAACACAGTGAAGTGCTTTAAACACTGTCAATACTACTATTTCCTGCTAATAAAACAATAAAAACAACTCGGCACACAGTGAAGATGCTCGCCTTTCACCAAGGAGGTCTAGGTTCGATACCCAGATAATCTCATGAGAAATTTGTTCCAACAAAACATGTTTACCTGTTTTACTGGGGCTAGTCCAACCCCTGCGAAGCTTCCTAAACCCTAGTCCTAACCTAATTCCTTCTCCATTCTAGCCACTGGGTAGTGACTCAGGAGCATGTGAGGTGTAAAAGGCGCATACGCGGAGATGCTACCTGATGGTCCTCTCAAAAACTGACTGTGACTGATTGTGATTAATAGAGGATTACTCCCTAAAGCTCAATGTGTCACAAGGGGTTTAAGAGATGCATCACATCAATAACGACACGACATAAAGTGAGTCATTCAATAACGATGCAACAAAAAACAAGAACAAGGAGGAGGGAAGAATATACATTTGTAACTCAGTACCATTGTCATAACTAGGATTTCTTTACTGCTGCAGAACATGTTTCCAAGCAGAACTGTGCCCAAAACGGTAATATATCAGACCTATGAAACTGTTCAAAGTATTGTTCATCTTGGTAGTTTAGTGCTTAGAGCAACTAGGAGACCCAGTTTCAAATCTAGTCGGGATTACAATTCTTAAAACAAATTAAATTAATGATATTAACAACAGAGACCACTTTGAATTCTAATACCATACATACTTGCAAATACTTCTTTCCCCTGATTGAAGAAAGCCTCCGGTCTTGAATAATTAGAACATTATCAGCTTCCTGTGAGGCCTTAGCACTTCCAAATATTGAATGTACAGTTAGCAGTTCCAAGGATTGCTCTTTGCGGGGGTGCATGACTAATGTAACATGGCAATTTGCACGTGTTGCAAAGCCTCGAAATGCTGTGATGATAGCATCCTGTTTCCAGAAACGATCAGCATACTTTGGTGGTTCTTCTGATATACCCATCATAAACTAGACAGATTGGAGGAAAAGAGCCTTGTTTTATTTTTAATAAATTTTAAAAAATCTTAAAAAGACAAGATTTTTTCACAACGGTCATCTTAAAACTTTGCCATTTGATATCCTCTTAAATTAATATGAGGAGTTTCTTCAAGTTAGATTTATAAATAAATCTTATACAACCTAATACATCAAGACAACATCACATGTTAATATGCAACTGAACATCAAGAAAAAATCCTAAAATAAAAAAGTTTCGCAAGATCAAGATCGATTGCAGTAATACACTTAAATGTAATACAGTAATACAAAACAACTGTTGTTGCTCAAAACAAATGTACAAATCACAACTTTTGGACAAATTTCTAAAGCAAATTTTATACCATAAACTCAAAGATATGTAGGTAGAATGGAAGAAGAAAGGAAACAAACATATTTAAATCAATGCTAGTAGCAAAAAGACAACATAATGAATGCATATCAGAACAAATGTATCACACCTGAACGTTATCAATTATAACATGGGCAATATCGTGCACATAAGCTGCATGTTCCACTGCCTCCATTACGACACGAACAGGTTGCTGACCATGAAAAGTCATGAAATACACAGGTAACTTCTCAAATTCATCAGCCCATTGCTCAAAGCGGTCCAGACTGCTGTTAAAAGAGATTCCAGCGAGCTGATGAAGCATTGTGCGAGCTAATCTTATATTGCGAATTTCAAAGCTGCCCCACAATGTGGTGACTCCTGTAAATAATTATTGCACATCATAATAAGCATAAGTTTGAAAAGATTTTTCTTTTCAAATGTGTACTAATTGTGTACTTTCACTAACAAGAGATTAATTAACAACTAATTAGTATTATTTCAATGTGCACACAAATTCATAAATATTATGGATTTATTTATTATTAAATGTATAAAGAAAATACTGAACGTCCAATTAGAAGTTACAAATTGTAAGGCAAAGAAACAATTGATCGTTCTTCATAGATTTACAATGCACATTAATATACATAAAAGTGAAAATAACACTACCTTGAGAAGCCAAATCAAGAGAGTATTCACTCATGAATGTAGTTTTTCCAGATCCAGTGGGACCTGTTAGAACAGTGAATTCTCCACGACGATGGCCCTTCAAAATTTTATTGAGCATTGGAAAACGTTTCCATTTCACTCCTTCAACCTACAAATAACAGTATTTGCACCATTTTAATCTAAGAAACCATAATTAGCTTACTTCTATTCATTCATCATACATTCAAGGCTCCATTGTAACCTCTCTTATTTAAGGTTTGTTAGTAATTTTTGATTGGATTTGTTAGTTTCTCAATATTGTATATCAATAGAAAAGAATTCCCAACTTATTGAGGCATGCCTCAGAGAGAAAACTGGTCTAAATCAGATGCTGATCCATGAGATAACACCCCCACACCCCACAATGTTTCAGTAAGAATTAATTAGAACTTGTCATGAGATTTTCAAGCAAAAATATTTCTGGATTATCATTCAAATGAATAAAACCTTATCACAGCATGAGCTGAATGTAGCTTGTGACATTTTATAAAATCTGTAACATGACATTTGATGAAAACCTTTTGAATTTCCTGCCCCAAAAATTGTCTCTGGATTTCCCCTGTCTTTCACCCTGGATTTGCCCACTCTTTCATAGACTACTCAGAATTACCAACAATGTGCTTTACATTATGAAGTCTCACTCTTGTCAGGCAGTGAGTAACACAAAATGTTTTAATAAAATGAGGTATGATGTAGTTCTCATGGCTGACATATCTTCTACAGCAGGGTTGTCCTGCTGGTGGTCCAGTGCCATTTGTTATGGCCCAAGAACAGTTATTAATCAAAATTCCTTGCATCTGTCAAGGGAGAACATTGTGTGCCTAGCACGTCAGGGTACGGCCTGCATGGCATGATATTACGCATGGTTCTATCGCCCCCTCCTGTTTCAGAGCAGCCGGCTACACTGCTGAGATTAACAACATGGGGAAGTCAGGTGTGGATCACCAGAGTAATGTAAATATGGCCCGCAACCATATTATAGGTTTTAGTTGCGGCTCTTGAAAACATGCAAATTGGACCCCCCAGTTTTACAGCCTATCTTCGCAGGCTAATAAAATTTAGGTTGAGAGCTTACTTTTTCCACGTTTTGCAACTCGGCCAGAACATCGTGTCGAAGAGACGAGAAAGTGGTTATTGCTCTGTGCCATATGGGTTTCGCTTGTGCTACCATTGTCTTGAGGTCTGCACCGACTCCAAGCGCCTCATGAGGAGCTGGCTGATCCTCCGTGGGCCTCACGAAGAAGCATCGCCCTTCACCCAATTTCCTAGCCAAATGACGAGCAGCATCCCAGCATTGGACAGAGTTTCCAAACCAGAGGACAAGCTTCTTAAAGCGCTCCAGAGCCGGCAGAACGTGTTGCGGAAGAGTCCCTTCACCTGACACACACAAAATTTATCATTTTACTCTAGTTAAAAGTCAGACATTTTCCTGTCTTTATTTGTCTTCACAATGGCTTTATTTGTTCTATTTATTAGTTTATAGACCTCAAACAGGGCTTTAATACGTTCACTTCCCAGCACATTCTCACTATACTACACCTTGATACCAAACAGGTTTTTTTGCATTCTACATCTCTGTGCCACTGGAAATTGATGCACTTCTAAACATGCTAGAACATCAAAAATTGTACCAATATTTACATAATAATATATAAAATTAAATTTATTAAAAAAATATATGATTCCATACGGACTAACAGGAACGTTTTGCAGGTAAGCTAATGAATAAGACCATAAGGTCTCGTACTGAAAAAATCAAATCTCCCCACGAGGCCATATGGTCTCTTGCTAAACAAAATTGAATGTCCTTACGCGATCCTATGGTCTTGCATGGCAGCCAACATGTAAAGGCATTAAAAAGTATTTATTTCAAAAAACTATTTCTCTCAAGGAGTATCCCTGCCAAAAACAAAATTTAACTTTTTAACATTCAAAAAAAACATTAACAAACTAGTTTATTTTGTATTAATAAAATGTCATGTCAAGTGAATACAAAATTTTCTAAATTTATTTTGTAAGTTTGTGACAGAAAATGTGAGTTAAAAACAATACAAAGAAATCTCTCATTTCAAATCTAAATAAACATCTTCAAATTATTAGTGAAAGGAATTGTTTGATTAAATATTATATTACACAATATGTAATATTAACAGAAATTAAATGTAGAATACTTTTTGTAAATAGATTTTTGTTGTGTAGCTATATCATCATGTTCAATTTTCACATTGGTACTTCAAATATCCAAACAGGACAAATAACACCATATTATACTTTAATTATAATGTACCTGATTATCTAATTGTTAAAACATAATTACAAATTAAAGACATAATAAATTTCATAATCTAAATAGTTTATAAATATTTTTAATATATATAAATTTAAAGAACATACAGGTAATACAAAATAAAATGTTGCACTGAAAGTGAAAGGTAGTCATTTGAATAATGTAGGGGTTTAACCATTGTATAAATAGCATTTTATTCCAATAATTTTTAATACGTTAATTTTTATCATTTTAGTTCAGTACTCAATTCTAATAGTATTGGCACAATTTTCACAGCTATCCTTTAAATTAAATTGCAAAATCTTATTTGATTAACACAAATAGGCACTTACACTGAAGATTCAATTTATTGATGAAAACTAAGAAGTTAAAGTTCATTTCAAAAAACAGTAATTAAAATTAAGAAAAAATATTTAAGACTAAGGAGTCTACCTACATAATAGGTGTGGATTATTTTATTGTACAAACAAAAAATACTGCTTACCATGTGGAAGACAGATAGTGCTACAAGTCAGCTTCTGACTAGCTAAAGCCAAGGCATCTTTTAGTGAGGATACAATAACTGCAGTATCCAATTTACTACATCTTTGTGGATTGATAACTAATAATCCCCCACTGTTCACAGATGGTACAGTCTCTTCCAAACCTTTCTTTTTATATATTTTATATCCAGCAACATGGCCTCCAGCATTAAAAAGAGGAAAATATAAGAGAGATTGTGATTTATCAACACGAACCTGAACTTGTTTCACAATAGATGATGGTACATTCTGAAAATGAATTAGAAAAAATATACTACAGTTAACTCTCAGAAAAATCATTAAAATTAAATTTATAACAAATAATATAAGTGACATACTGGAAGACTAAACTTAATGAGTATTTCCATACGATCAACATCTGAAAAAGAGTCAAGCTGTGTACTTTCTTCACATACAGTATTCCATTTATCAATGTAACTTTGATTTGGAACACATAAACCTTTCAAAGCTTCGAGGTCTTCAGGTAATTTGTTTTTACTTCTTTTTGCTAACAGTAATACCTTTTCTAGTGAATCCCAATGACTTGTATAACCACAATTAAAACAAACTGCAAACCCTACACAAATAAAACAAAAGAGAAAATTAATTTCAAATTATATCCCTCGTAACATTTTCTTACTTCACCAAAACAGTGCAACTTCATACCTGTCTTTTTGTTGACGTATACTTTACTGTCACTCTTTTGAGAAGAAATGTGATTGCACACAGGACACTCCACATGCAAACAAGTATAACCATCACTGAAGGCAATGTTATTATTTTTTAAGATCTTTTTGACTTGTGATACTGATAACGTTTGAGTAGGTTCCACAGAAAAAGTGCTGAAATCCCTGACACTGATATATTCCAGAGGAAGAAGTAAGTGTCTGTCTAAGTATGGTGAAATTAATCTTGAGGAAGTTCTGAAATACATTTTTGTCCTATGTTCTGGCACTTTTAATTGCGTCTTCCCCACTCGATAAACATTTTCTCGCCAATGGCACATTTTTGAAAAACAAATATTACTTGAGCAGTGTATCAGAGATCTTCCAGAATTTATTGTGCTTATTATCCGCACTGTTAAAGGTTCGCGCGCAAAGAGGCATCTCCAGAAATACATTACACTCGTTATTGGCACAATCACAAAGTTTATAATAAAAACGTAACATAATAAAAATATTTTTACTTGGCCCGTTTCATTGTTATTCTACCCATTCGAACCCATGTTGTATGCTGATTGCATGTTCTTATTCTCGACAGCAAACACTTCCGCGGCACGATCGTCAAATTCTCATTTTGCCAACCATGGAAAATATTTTTCTAATATTATTTTGCCTTCGTGTCTACGGAGAGTAAAATATGCCCGTCGCTTTTAGAAAATCGTTTCTATTTATTTTTATTTGTTTTCAGGAACGTTTAATCAGCTTTTGAAATGTGTACGAAAATGATGAAAGTCAATTCGTAAATAAATACCACAGATACGAGTTTCATTTGGCGAGAATTCAGATAAAATGAAAATGTTTCCTATTGATGACTGATTAATAAATTGACAACTAAAATTAGCAAAAATTATTATTTTGTAAAGCACTATTTGTAGCCTTAGGTTTGGAAATCGTCATTATTTCAAATTTTGGCGCTCTTCTTTATTTCACTAAAACAAAGAGTAACTAAAACAGAGCACTAAAACATCAGTTTGAAATGAATTTATTTTGTACTGCTTCTTACATGGAATTTGTAGGTCTTTCGTCCATAATGTGTTCCATGTTGGTCGATTATAAAATAATAAATTCCCAAATATATTATAGTACAATAAATTTGCTATATCTAAAATGAAAATCTATTTCCAAGCATGGTCATCATTCTTGTTAATTCATTGAACAATCCTATGTAATTATTTATATTTATTTTGTTGCAACTCTTAGAAGTATTAATTTTGACACTGTTAACCATAATCCTATACTTTTAACACGTATTTGTCCTTCTCTTCTGTTGACTACAGGTATTCCGGTACTCTGGGCTCTGGTCTGATTTCCCGCTAAAATTTTCCCGCTAAATTTTGGCTGTACGACTGATGCATTTGTTTCGATCGTTTTGACGGAGGCAGAGGTGAATAAGCAGGAGTGATAATTACCGGCGATATTGACAGGCAGAAACTTGTCATTACTATTTGTCACTATTACGTTTTATATTCTGTGATATTTATTTTCTTTTATTGTCTTACTCTCTAAAGAGATAGCTCACATGCGCGTTTTCAGAGTAATACTATTACGTTTTGTGCATGTAATCAAATTTTAGATAACCAATACTTGGCTTTCAAAGAACATCGCTGTGCAGTCGGTGTGTTGAAGTGGATTTTGTTGACCAAGACAGCTTTACTGCAGTAATGAAACTGTCTGAGGGATCTCTCAGCGTAAGTTTACAGATTTTAAACATTGTACGTAGCTATTTGTAGCAGTTGTGCAGTGGGAACAATTGTATGATTCTTTTGAAATTGTCATTTTTGTCAAATAACCTGGTCCTGAATTGTGTATATCAATTTACATTAAAACATACTTGTTAAGTAAGTGTTAAATGTATTATGCGTATTAAAACCATAGGTTCTTCATTGAGTACTGAACATTATTTTGGCAAGATTCGTACTTGAATTGATCACATGTCTAAAGTAACTAACCAATGGTCAACAATTAAATTTTCTTTATATAATTTGCATCTGACCTTATAAACAGAAAATGTGTATGAATGAAAATGTAATAGATGAGACAATTTTCTCCCACATGCCATTGAACATCATTATTTCATCAAGGCATCCACACAGTCATTAATAGTGCATGCCACAGTAACGATAATCCTTATGCGATTGTCATGAAATGGAAATATACTCTGTATCATCAAATTGACTGTGAATGTAAATTTGTGCAACTTTCTTCCTAGTTCTTGTACAGAGGAAACTCGCTTTTTTTAGTAATTCACACTTAAGCAGTAATTTCTCTATTCTTTTGATTAATGAAATTGTTGAAATCTTGATGTTTAATGCTACTAATTGATTATTTACTTTTAAGTCCCAGAACAGTGAAAATGTGGAGAAAAAATACATCTTTAGATTTGATATGTTGTTGGCTTTTTTAAATTCTGAAAAGTAATCTTACGTCTTGTAGTTCATTGTAAAAAAACTATTCTTTTTTAATAGTTTTATCTCCTTTCTAACAAGAGATATTGAGAAGACAAATTTAACAGAACCAGTTACAATATAATTCATCTCAAAATCACTGGTTAAGGACGTTGTGAGTTTCACTTGTATACTGGTGAAATGTTAATGTACTTGCATGTGTTTTTTATGTGTGCATACATTTTTGCAATTTTGTGTTTTCCTCCTGTTGATGTAGTGTTGCAATCTCTTGTTAATCTTATGTTATAATGTTATTTATTTTGTAGGCAATTATGCGCGGAGAAAATATTGAAGATCCAATTTTGCAAATTTTGGTGAGTCTTTGTTTTTATTTGTAATGATTCTGATGCATTTGCACTTCAGAAGTTACGTTTACAATTCTCATAGGAGAAAATTTAGCTTGCATATATTTGTTTTGTTACAATAAAATTTCTATTTAAAGAAATGTCTGTTTAATGATACCCAGTGGATTCTTGATGTATCAAATGTTCAAAGTGTCTGGTTAAAGTAGGGTACACGGTACACCCTTAGAAGTGAGGCGAGGGTGCCGGGTCTTCTTAAGCATTCCTTTAAATTACGCAACACGCTCTGATAGAAATTACGAATAGGTGATTTTCACGTCTTGCTTTTCATACGCTTTGTCCTCGCCACATTGTAATGTCAATCAAAGGCAAGTTTTCTCGCTTCACTTGCCCAGATCCAATTTATGGCAACGCTTGGGCCTTCAGACCTCACATTTACTATAAATATCCTTGAGTATAATTACCAATTCACTTCAATAAGAATGCACTTTTTAAAAAGCCTCCAGAATTCAAACTGCGCAGTTGCCGTCAGAGCGGCGTGATGTGCCAGTTTAAACGTCTTCCGTATGTTGTACTGTATACTAGATTTCAGCCGTTTGTCCATAATATCTTACTTTAAGTTAAATTTTGTGAAAGTTGAGCCATAGTGATCAGGGGGCTTCTCTGTAACTTTTAACATTAAGCACGATAGAAAAATTTTGACTTTAAGCTTTTAAAGACGAAAAAATATCTTCCAAATTTTTTATAAAAGATTTCTTTTAAAACCAATGAACAATTGGATGACGGCTTTTCAAAAATTCATTAATTTTTCATTTCTCCAAAAAGTGCGCATTACACACATGCTTCTGAGGGGTGGGTGAGGTGGATAGAGATTTTTGATAGATGATTGTGTTGAATACTCAAACAACACCTGATATCAGCTGCTATGAATGCTACCTGATTAAATCATATTTACTCATGAGATAAGTAAATGGTGAGTATGTACTTTGCCTATACAGTGCAATGTGGTTAAGGATTTGCCTCTGAAGGTCTCATACAAAAAAGGGAGAGGGAAAGCAGACTCTTAAAAAGAGTTTCAATGTCATTTCAGTGTTGACGAAAGCTTTTTAAAGAACAGACAACTACGATAATGTGTGTGTGTCTGATAAAGGAAATTCGACCGCACGCAAATTCACGTGCCCTGCCAAAGAGTTGTCGGTTTCACTTCCTTGCAGCTTCTAGTTAGGGAAGCGTTATAGAAGGCAATTAAGATTGTGTGTGTGTGTGTGTGTGTGTGTGTGTGTGTGTGTGTGTGAGAGAGAACACCGTCCTCCAGTGTACTGGTGGACTGACGAGATCGGTCGGGAACTTCGCAGGGAATGCACCGAACACGTAGATTGGCACAGCGCGCCTGGAGCCGCCAAACTACGGAATTTCTCCAAGAAACAACCATCTGGACGCCAGAAGAGCTTTCACAAAAGCCATTAAGAATTAGTAAGTGTCGTTGCTGGAGAGAGCTAGGGGAAGGTGGATGCTGACCCTGGGGACGCCCGTATAAGCCTGGTGACTGGCCAGACTCAGGGTTATGTTCAGGCGACACCCACTGCCCGGTTTTCTTGGAAAAGTTGTAGCTACCTTGTTTCCTCGCCAGGTAGATATGTTACAAAGAGGATGTCTGGAGCATCTAAGCGAGGTTCCGGCAGTCACAGTTTGGATGAACTTTCCAGAGCTTGCGGCAAGGTCCAAGATTGCAAAGCCCCCGGATTAGATGGGTCCCAAATGTAGGCAATGAAAGACCGCTATTAAGACTCGCCGATCTATTCTTGCACGCATATAATGCATGCATACGAGGGAAATTCCCCGTCGATGGAAGCAGCAACAGCTAGTCCTTCTTCCGAAGGGCGATAAGCACCTACTGATCCGGCAGCCTATCGGCAATATGCTTACTGGACACAAGCAGGCAAAAGTGTTGGAGCGGATTATCTGCATCCTTCCTTCTCGCGATGCAATGCCTGACGGCGCGCGCGCTCTCTCTCTCTCGCCTTTGATTTGCCATTACAAATGTTGGCCGAGGACAAAGCCGTATTGAAAAGCAAGACGTGAAAATACCTATTCGTAATTTCTATCAGAGCGTGTTGCGTAATTTAAAGGAATGCTTAAGAAGACGGCACCTCGCCTCACTTTTAAGGGTGTACCGTGTGCCTACTTTACCAGAGCACTTTGAACATTTGATACATCAAGAATCCACTGGGTATCATTAAACAGACATTTCTTTAAATACGAAATTTTTTGTACAAAACAAATATATTGCAAGCTAAATTTTCTCCTATGAGATTGTAAACGTAACTTCTGAAGTGCAAATGCATCAGAATCATTACAAATAAAAACAAAGACCACCAAAAATTGCAAAATTGGATCTTCAATATTTTCTCCGCGCATAATTGCCTACAAAATAAATAACATATATAACATAAGATTAACAAGAGATTGCAACACTACATCAACAGGAGGAAACACAAAATTGCAAAAATGTATGCACACAAAAAACCACATGCAAGTACATTAAATTTCACCAGTATACACAGTGAAACTCCAAACGTCTTTTAACCAGTGATTTGAGATGATTATATTGTAACTGGTTCTGTTAAATTTGTCTTCTCAATATCTCTTGTTAGAAAGGAGATAAAACTATTAAAAAAAGAATAGTTTTTTTAACAATGAACTACAAGACGTAAAGATTACTTTCAGAATTAAAAAAGCCAACAACATATCAAGATCTAAAGATGTATTTTTTTCCACATTTCACTGTTTGGGACTTAAAAGTAAATAATCAATTAGTAGCATGAAACATCAAGATTTCAACAATTTCATAATCAAAAGAATAGAGAATTACTGCTTAAGTGTGAATACTAAAAAAAGCGAGTTTCCTCTGTACAAGAACTAGGAAGAAAGTTGCACAAATTTACATTTCAGTCAATTTGATGATACAGAGTATATTTCCATTTCATGACATCGCATAAGGATTATCGTTACTGTGGCATGCACTATTAATGACTGTGTGGATGCCTTGATGAAATAATGATGTTCAATGGCATGTGGGAGATAATTGTCTCATCTATTACATTTTCTTCATACACATTTTCTGTTTATAAGGTCAGATGCAAATTATAATAAAAGAAAATTTAATTGTTGACCATTGGTTAGTTACTTTAGACATGTGATAATTCAAGTACGAATCTTGCCAAATAATGTTCAGTACCAATGAAGAACCTATGGTTTTAATACGCATAATACATTTAACACTTACTTAACAAGTATGTTTTAAGTAAATTGATATACACAATTGCAGGACCAGGTTATTGACAAAAATAATGACAATTTCAAAAGAATCATACAATTGTTCCCACTGCAAACTGCTACAAATAAGCTACGTACAATGTTTAAAATCTGTAAACTTACGCTGAGAGATCCTCAGACAGTTTCATTACTGCAGTAAAGCTGTCTTGCGTCAACAAAATCCACTTTCAACACACCGACTGCACAGCGATGTTCTTTGAGAAGCCAAGTATTGGTATCTAAAATTTGATTACATGCACAAAACGTATAGTATACTCTGAAAACGCGCATGTGAAGCTATCTCTTTAGAGAGTAAGACAATAAAAGAAAATAAATATCACAGGAAATATAAAAACGTAATAGTGACAAATAGTAATGACTAGTTTCTGCCTGTCAATATCGCCGGTAATTATCACTCCTGCTTATTCACCTCTGCTCCGTCAAACGATCGAACAATGCAGTCAGTCAGTACAGCCAAAATTTAGCGGGAAAATTTTAGCGGGAAATCAGACCAGAGCACAGCAGTAGACTGTATCAACAGAAGAGAAGGAAAATACGTGTAAAAGTATAGGATTATGGTTAACAGTGTCAAAATTAATATTCTAGAGTTGCAACAAAATAAATATAAATATATTACATAAGATTGTTCAATGAATTAACAAAATGATGACCATGCTTGGAAATAGATTTTCATTTTAGATATAGCAAATTTATTTGTACTATAAATATATTTGGGAATTTATTATTTTATAATCGACCAACATGGAACACATTATGGACGAAAGACTACAAATTCCATGTAAGAGAAGCAGTACAAAATAAATTCATTTCAAACTGATGTTTTAGTGCTCTGTTTTTAGTTACTCTTTGTTTTTAGTGAAATAAAGAAGAGCGCCAAAATTTGAAATATGACGATTTCCAAACCTAAGGCTACAAATAGTGCTTACAAAATAATAATTTTTGCTAATTTTAGTTGTCAATTTATTAATCAGTCATCAATAGGAAAACATTTTCATTTTATCTGAATTCTCGCCAAATGAAACTCGTATCTGTGGTATTTATTTACGAAATTGACTTCATCTTTTCGTACACATTTCAAAAGCTGATTAAACGTTCTGAAAACAAATAAAAATAAATAGAAAACGATTTCTAAAAGCGACGGGCATATTTTACTCTCCGTAGACACGAAGGCCAAATATTATTAGAAAAAATATT